CCAATGTACCATAAAATTATGTTCTCATAAATTTAGGCTTATATTTTATTTGTACATTAAGAACAAATTTGTACAATAGTTATTATGGGTTCCCTTCTTTTTTGTACATAATTTCATTTTTTTAATCGTAATGTTAAAAAATTTCTTTTCATTAGTAATGTATATATCTTTATTTGAATCTTTGGTGTAAATAATAAAAATGAAATCATTTGATACATTCTACATTCGTGATCTTTTTTTGCAAATGAATTAATTTATCCTCTCGGCATTCTAAAATATTTCATGTAACGACATGATTAAAAGCTGTCGATGAGATTTTAATACTGTAAAAACTGGATATTTAATTAATTATTAGTACAGATGTGACAAATTCTTAGGTCGGCCCAGTCAGTCGTTAGGCCACGACAGAGTCGCTGAAATTAGTAACAAAGATTTTATAAATTTAATTAATGTTTCAAAAAGTAGAATTATGAAATTTCGCGATTTTCTGACATTATATCAAATTTTGGAACTCAGTCACGACTCAGTCATTTGAAAATTCCGGAGTTGACTCAACTTGGTGATTTTTTGTGCAATCTCATGCAAAAAATGTTCTGAATGAAACGAACGCGATAAAATAAATCTTAATTAAAAGCAAATCACAAAGAATAAAAGTAAAGTATTATTAAATATCAATTTTTTAAAATTGTTATTTAAATTTTTTTTTGTAAATACTGTGAAGAAATTTTGGCAATTGAAAAAATTTTGATTTGTAGCAAACTAATCAATTTTATCAATTTTTTTTTTTAATTATTTAAATTACTTGTGCATTATATAGTATTATCTTTTAATACAATGAATAAATTAACTGTAATTAGGACATTATATCCCGATATATATTAATTAAAAAATCCTAATTCCGAAATATTCATTTAAATTTTTCCGTTACATACTTAATTTACTAAATGATTTTTTATAAAATTAAATAAGTCAAACTCGGTATACTTGGTAAAAAGAGTAAAATATGCAGCTATATATTGCTTAACCGATTAAAATTGTTCCTACGCGTCTGAGTTGGAAAAGTTGAAAGTCGAAATTTATACCTAGATATATATGAGCATAGAAATATGTTATGATTAATAGACAAATTTACAGGCGTTGTTAAGAAAGTTCCGTCTTTTTATTTTAAATAAATGCGTGAATTCTTTCAAAAAAAGAATATTCTCACACAATGTAAAAAGGTTGCTCCATTTAAACCTTGATCAATTTCGATATTATGAAAAACCATTGAAACACAAATTCTCGATTTGCATATACCTTCTTTTGATGTGAATATTTTCATGGCAGTAGAGAGACCGACTATCTCATTAAATTTATATAAAAAAATGGAAAGGATTATTTATATAAATCACGAACATCACGAACATTTGAACAGTTTTTTTTTTAATTTACATTTTTATATAATGATCCATCATTCAAATAGTGGACAATTCGTTTGGAAGGGAAGTCATTCCGAGATTGATTAATGCATTTAAATTTTTTAATGTCAATTACTGTTTGTCTTTTGAATACAAAAAATGATTTCGAAAAACTTCTTTTCATTTGTTGTATAATGAATCATATTGATAAGTTATAAAATTAAATTCATATTTTTTTTATTAAAACGACAAAATATACTAACTAATAGAACATATTTTTTTACAAAAAAAATTAAAATAAAATAGATTCAGAATATAACTTTGATTTTATTCCTCTCCAAAAAAATAAAACGAAGATAAATTAAATATTTACAGATAAATACAGAAAATAAAGTAGAAATAAAAAATAATAATTGTTTTAAAGTAATTTTGACATCGATCAGTTTGTAGGTCTGTAGGTTTGTGGAACCAAAGTAGGAATTTGATAAAGAAATAGTTTTCTTTGTTCTTTCTTTTCCGAAGAGTCGTTCACATGATGGAGCATTGATTCGTAGGATTGGGTCGGTTCGTTGCTTCAGAAGTAACGATGATAACTGGATCAGCAGTAATAACGTTGATTTTAGTTTGATTCATTCTTTAATTTGATTTATTTTGAAATTTTTTTTTGTTTGATTTGTTTGAAGTTGTTAATTGTTATTTGTTGTTTTTGTTGCTTGATGAAAAAATTTGAAAAAGCGAAATGAAGTTTATTTATAAAAGTCGAGAAAAATAGTTTTTTAACATTTTGCATTGTCTTAATCAAATTATATTCTTTTTCTTGTTTTCCCAATTAATAAACTTTTCTTGTGCATGCGTTTTACAAACCACAATGGATTTTAGAAAGGGTCTATTGTGATAGTATTGTTAGTATTGTGCAATCGGCTGAACGGAATAAATAAATTCGGACTTTTTGTTGATGTTTTTTTTGAAAATCCATACAATTCCATATTAAGTAATCGAATTTAATGTCGATCAAAATTAGTTAGGGATCAAAAAGGAAAATGCAAATAAGTTCTGCTAATCAAAAATCAAAGAACAATCTTAAGTTTTGGATTTCCCCGAGCAGTAAACTCTTTCAGTTCGGGACAATTATTCCTACAAATCAAATTATCTATCATGCAACTAAAAAAAATCTTTTTTTTAGAATTTTCTAATTCGGACAATGAACTATTTCGGTTCATAAGGTTTTGATCATGATACCAAGTTTTTTTTTCATTATACGGTACTAAAAATAAATTTTGATATATTGTTAGTTATATTTAGTATATTTATATATAACTTTTACTCCCAACTTTTAAATCTTATAAACTAGTAAATATAACATTATCCAACATCAACTTATTATTTAAATTATTTAAATTATTTCGTCTTGGATGATGTTAACTGTGGGATTTTCGACTAGAATTTAATTTCTATAACAACTGTCTCATATCCGTACACCTGCGCTCTAGCTCACGCCAAATAAATCCTCGTTGCATGCGCTTTGGAAATCTAATGCAGAAATTTTTGATTATGAGAACGACGGACTTTTGTTAAACAAATGGTACCATCTATACACTTTCTGATTTTGAAAAGAGATTAGATTTTTACGCAGACATTGAATAGGTGGGATTCTATGGCATCAAGAACATTAGAACGCAAATTGTTTGTTTTCAATGATAAACCGCACATGGTTAATGGCGAAATAAGGTGTGAATTTGTACATTAGTATCTAAATTATCTAAATGACCAAAAAAAAAATAAATATAATATTTTAAGTGATAATGTTATCAAATAACAACGTTCATTATTTCAATGGCGTTTTATGTGCTGAAGAAGTGATTTTTTAGTAAAATACTTTAAAGGATTTCGATGTGATTATTAGAAAATATTCTCTAAAGGATTCATGCCCATATTCTGGTATCAATACTGGTAAATTGTCACTTTACAGTCATCCTAGCGGCGTATTGATTTGAGCGAAATTGTGAAATCTTAAAGGAATTATTGGTTATTTTACCTAAAAAACCTAAATTTTTTATAAAACTTTAATTTTCTATATGAAAAATTTCTTGTATTTGTTAGACGAGCTAATAAAATTGAAATTTCTAACTTTAGCATTATTTATGTATAGTTTAAGTACATTTTCACTTTGCTCTTTTCTCTTTTAGAACATACCGATACGATTATTACGTGTGGCTGATCTTCAAGGAAGGGTTGCTTAAACTTGAAGTGTGTTTTATTATAACATTTTTTTTAATAAATTTTTTCAAATATTAAATTATTTTGAAACTCCGAAGCATTGTTACACTATTAATATACATATGTCGATTTTTTGATTGATGTTACACCAAATTTAAGCATTTTTTGGATCTAACCAATTTGGTAAGAATTGGTTTTTAAAAGACCTTGCCTTCTTTAATTTTCTTGCCAATGCGGAAAAACCACTATTCTACTTTTTCGTTGAGTAAAGTCACTTTCCAAGAAACTTTGTACTATGATCAATATAAAATAGTTCCTCAAAATAATTTAGTACCTTCCTTTGACATTTTTAAACTTTCTGATATACGCCACGCATCTTTTTGTTAATAAATTAACCACATATGGATTGTGATCAACTATTTTCTCGTTGAATGCTTATTTTTTATGACCATTAACGTCATTTAAAGGCATTGGTACAATCATTTATCTACAATGGAAACAAAAAAAAACTATTCTCTTTACAAAATGTCTTGGGATATTCGTTTCGTAGTTGGATTATGTACGATAAATATAGTTCATATTTTGTTTGTTTATTCAATTAGAATTTTTTTTTTTTAATATTTGACATTTTTTTAAAAGATTTTGGAACCAAGCATTCAGTAAATCATAATTTCCTTAAAACTGACTTATTGTGTTTAAATCAAATCAAATCGGTCTCATTCAAAATGTTCTGATATTTTTTTATTAGGGATTCGCGTATTGTCATGTCTGTGATGATAATATAAGAATAAATGAAGATTGGCCTAGATGGATGGTATATCCTCCCCTCCTATTTTATTTCCTAGATGAATTATATATATATATCTGAATTTATTTTATTTTAAGGGTAATGGTCAAGTTGGTCAAGTTGTTCAATTTAAAACCAATACAGTATTACAATATGATAGTAATTTAAATGTCAAATATTGGGGATATCCTGCATTATATAAACGTCCAAGAAGGAATTTTGATGAAGAGGAACGAAGTTTTGTAGCAGAATTATTTACATTGCATTTAGATGATTTGCAGGAAAGTCAAAAACCGGTTCTTCCAAATGGATTGGATTATAAAAAAGCAATCGTTGATTATCTTCATGAAATGGGAAATGTAGTGTTTAAAGACGATTTAGTATTTAGCATTACTTAATTATCGCAATTGGATATACTTATTAATTATTTATTAATTATATACATAGTTAATCAAGAGTAGGATTAACATTGACATTGATTTTTTGGAACAAGTTCTTCTAGTCCTTACTATTCCAGCCGAATATTCGGAAAAAGCAAAATCTATAATGAGAGATTGTGTACATGAGGCTGGATTAATTGGCGAAAAAAATTCCGATAAATTACAATTGATTACGGAAAGTAAGTGTAAATGCATAGATATATATTATTATTATTAATTATTTTTTTTTTTTACAATAAATTCTAACTTCTGCAGCTGAGGCTTTGGCAATTCATTGCAGAGATAGTCTCGGAGAACATGGTTTAAATAGCGGAAGTATGTATTGCTAAATGAGAAATATGAAACCATTTCTATCTTATATTCCTTAATTAACCCTTTTTTTCTTAGAAAACTTCATGGTTGTTGATTGTCGTAGTGGTTCAATAGTTTTGACAACTCGAAAATTACTCTACGGAAATCGATTAGAAGAAGTTAAAGAGAGAACAAGTGATTTTTGCGGAGGTTCTTTTGTCGATAGAGAATTTATTAATTACTTAAGGAGAGAACTCGGAAATGAAGCTATAGATTTATTAAGAGATAATTTCCATGGACAAATGCAATATTTGGTTCAATCATTTTGTCAAGACGCCAAATTACCATTTAAAGGAGATGATCGAGATTTTTATTATGAAATTAACCTTGAAGAAGTTTCTCCAGTTTTATTACAATATGTAAGAGATGAAAGGAAACAAAGAATGGAAGCTGCTGAATGGTTTATTTATCTTGATTACAACACAATCAAATCAATGTTTGACCCAGTCATTGAAAGAATTTTACGTATGATGCGTGTTCATATTGAAAATGCATCTGGGGTTGATGAATATACTGAAAAAAAAAAGACCGATATAATTTTTTTGGTGGGGGGATTTAGTGAATCAGGGTATTTGCAAAAGAGAATCAGAGAGGAATTTCCGGGTCATAATATTTATGTTCCTACCTATCCTAATGCAGCAGCAATTTCTCGTGGCGCAACAATCTATGGTTTAGGCTTTAACGAAATCGATAGATTAGATATGGATGGTCAATTCTCTAATATCGAATCACGTTTATTACAATTTACTTATGGGATCAAATTTTGGAAATCCGATGAAGGATTTCTTTTTAAATGTTTAGCAAGGAGAGGAAAAGAAGTTAAAATCAATGAAGAATTTAGTGTTAGAGTTCGACCCAGTCACCCGTTTCAAAGCACTGGGATATTTGAAATTTATTACACACGAAGTTTTTCAGCGAAAACTTGTGAAGAGGCAGGAATGAAATTACTTGGAAAACTTAAAATTGATTGGTCAGATGGGATGGACAGAACCACTACTTTTAAATTAGCATTTGGTAGAATGGAACTCAAAGCAATAGCAAAAAATGAAATTAACGGTCAAACTTTTCAAACGTCCTTTGATTTTGACGACGAATGAAATTTTTTTTTTTTTACATTATTTTTGTTTGTTGCAATATTTACTAGAATTCTTTTTTTTTATGTTTGAACTTATTTAAAGAAATTTGATAAAGAATAAAGCTTATAAAACTTTTTATTTGTTATATTTATTTATACATGTATATTATGCTATTTCGTATTTTATAAAGACGACGAAATACATCGTAAATTTTAAAGTTCGAAATATTAAATTCTCAAAATCATGTTACAATGGTACTCATGAAGTACTTTAGCAGTGTACTGTACATACTTTTTTGTTGAAGACGCCAAATCTCGTAGGAAAATAACAAATATCTACAAAATACTTGGGGTTATGGTAAGGCATTATGAAGCAAGCTTATTGGGGGGTTTTTTTCCATCGGAATATTATTATTAACATCACAGTTAACAATTTTTTTTTTATTAAGGCAAAATGGCGAAAAATATTTAAAAGAGAGCGAAAATTCTCTCAGATGACATACTAGGAAAATGGGGCTCTGAGAAATTTTTATTAAAATTTTAATTTTTATTGCATTTTAATCTAACATTATCAATATTAAAATACAATAAATAATAAAAAATGCTCAGAACCCCATTTACTTAGCAAACCTCCCATATGTTTTGCATTTGCAATCAATCTTATATAACAAAAGGGAATAGTGCCAAGTAATTTATTAGATTTACATTCTTAAAGGTGAAAAGAGTAAATGAAACTTCAAATATAATGGTATTTCACGTAAATATTTATCGTTATCTTTTTAATTTCGTCACGTAAATTCATCAGTTGTTCAAGTTTGCTACCAACGCAATTTTTTTAAAAATTATTTGTACTTCAAAAATATATATATATATATTTCAACTTTTCTTTTTCTTTTTAATTCAGATCCATAGCATATTCACAAAGGTCTGCTAAATGATCGTAAAGACGCTTAAGGAATATTAGTTATTTAGAGAATTCGTATGAATAACCTTATTAAGATTATAATTAATAAAAGCATACACGTGTAAGGTTTTTTGTTTATTAAGATTTTTGTTGCCGATTACAAAAAGACATCTAAAGGAACTGGTAAATTTTGTCTTATGCTGAAATTTTTAAAAAATGCATAATTGAATTCCTTTGACTGATTGAAAAGATTGAAGAGAAAATTCTTAATTTTATTAGGCTCTTTAAATATTTGTACCTCCGCATATTAATATTTATTTATTTATTTTTTTACATACAATATTTATGGGTTGCTATTAATTTATTATGTCACGTAACATGACTATAATAGCAAACGACCCACTTATTTGCTTTCAACACCAATTCTTTTTTCAAAAAAATTTATGAACAGTATATTTTTAATTCTTGAAATTTATGATTGTTAATATTTTACATTGTATAATTCATGATCTTTTTTTTTACTATGAATATTTTCGTTTGGTAAAAACCCCACTTCCATAATTCCTATAAGATAGCATCTTACTAGATAATTTATATATATATATAAAAATTGCATATCAAAGAGTCTTATATATTAAAGAAATAAAATTTTATTGCACTATTTGAATTACATACCCGTAATTATTTAAAAATATTAAGCTCTTTTGCTAGATGGTCTTTCGAATGAAGAATAGGTGAACTCGTTGATTGGTACTCCGCTTTCTTAATGTAAGTGAAGAGAATTATCATTTGTTGATGAACTAAAAAAACAATTCAAATTGTGTAAGATTTTTGATACCTTCTCTCCCAACCCTTGAAATTGACGGATCAATAAAGGAGGAGCCAATATCTGTTGTTAGTTCATTTCGTTGTAAATCGTATGATGATGTCGCTTGTAATCCTTCGATGTGTTCGTTAATTGCAACTCCTTGTTTATACTCTGAAATACGTGCTTTCTTGGATGTTACGGGAATACTTTGTTTTGATGCAATTCGTCTCTTTTGTTTGAAATTACGGAAAGGATCTATACACGTATCATTGTATAACATTGTCGAGTCAAATATCTTGTCTCCTAAAGAAATAAATTAGAATTTTTTTTAAAAAAATGAATGATTTTGGATTCAAAAGAAAGAAACCTATTCGTTTTTTTTTTAGAATGCCCACCTGATATTACATATAATCTTTGAATTTCGGCAAAAGCTGCATCAACAGTTCCTCTTCTTATACAAGTATTTTGTTGAGTTTCATTAATTTCTCTACAATTAAAATATTCTATTAACTTAATTTTAGTTTCATTAATTATAGAAGCAAAATCACCAATACGTTGTGCTTCCGCGTAAAGCTTAGCCGCGTGAACATGTTTGCAAGTATCACGAAATCTTCCATTCCAAATAAAATCATAACATAATAAACATTCTCCCGTTTTAATGTTTGCCATATAATATCCTTCTTTTGCAACAATTTCATGCCTTTCGATAAATCTATTCATCATGATATTTAATTTTTCCATAGCATTCCCATCCAATGAAATTAATTTACCATCATATGATGATGTTAATGTAAGATATGGTTCATCGTGTCTTTTAACATAATAACAATGTGGTTCATCTGTTGGTTCAACTAATTCTGATAAGAAATAAAATCTTCCAAGGTTTAAACTACGAACCATATCAGCAGATAATTGTGTCTTATAATAATAATCTTTATGATGATCAAATGATTGAGAATTGAAGAAGGTTATTAATCCAGCGTTATCTTGATTATCCTCGCTAGGAAAATTATCTGCATGTAAAACATCTCTGCGTAATTTAACTCCAAAAAGTCTTTCAAGGAATGCTAAAGGTGTTAATTTACCATCAAGTTGAACAATTACTCTCTTCGTGATCCGTTCAGTAAGGCTATTTGTGGTCATTGGCTTTCTCAACTGATCAGAATTCTGATCGGGATATTCTCTACACCTATCAACAATCATGCAACGCCATTCATCGTTCATCCAATTTATATCCAAGTCCTCCTTGATCGAGTTCTTTTGTACGCAGGTTAATGGAATTGAGTCAATAAACACTTTAAACAATCGTGCCATGTCAGCCGATTCTTCTTCCGTTCGACTCCTTCCAATTATCTTATATCCCAACGCGATTGGATATCTAATAAATAAATCAAATTAATTAAGCAAACTAATTGTATCCCTTTAGAGAGTAAATTCTTTACTTTTACACACTTTTTACCTTAATGAACGAGATACATCCCAATTCTTTAAATTTTCAGCCAACTTTTGCATTAGAAAAGTCCAAGAAAGACAAGTTCCAGCGACCACACCATCAAGAACTTTCTTGATTGGAAGGTGTTGATCGATCATTGCAATTGGATTCCACGGTTGATCTTGCGAACATTTACGTATCCTTTTGAATCCTCTTTCATTAGGTAAATCCTCATAATGCCACGGGTGTTCACAATCCTCAAGACTACATGGAAGATTCTTCCTGATAGCCGTAATCGCACAACGTACAGGTGTCTTATCATCTCCGTTGCTCAACGCTATGATCAAAGAGGGAGGAAGTTAATAGATTTATTTAAATAAAAAAATAAAAATAAAAATAAACGTAGACATTAACATGAATTCAAATCATATAAATAATAAGAATAATTACCAAATGCCAAAGGAATGGGATGACCGAGATCTGTCTCGACAACCATGGTTAAAACAGTTGCTCGATCCATATTCAATTCATTGTTCCCATCTATGCAGAAACAATAATGACCATAATTTCGACCATTCATTAACCATAAATCATCGGAAACGATTAATTGATAATAACGTTCGGGGGAATCATCAGGAGCGGACAGATCAGGAGTATGATAATATAAAACGTGACCACGAGGTTTCAATACATCTTGAATATAATTTTGAAGTACGGTCCAAGGACCCGAATTGTCCTTAACCCTACGATCATCACGTATGATAAGTCTCTTAAGTTGTTTGCTATTACAAATATCTCTATTCTTAACAACTTCTTGATGAAGATCATCTTCAGTCGCACCTTGTTTTGAAACCAAAATTTTATTCTTAACAACATCAGCGGTCCAACGATCAGCTCTACGACTAATTATAATTTTATCCCGAGCGGAACGTGTGAGATTAACTCTCGTAACTTGAGGTTCATGAGTCACAAGAACGTTAGGAGGTAAATGCCAACCTTCAATTTTAATTTTTAATTGATGAGGGGTTTTAATCCAAGATAATCTTGATTCGGTAACTACACGAAGTCTACAACGATGTATATCATTACTATTTTTTAAGTTATTAGGTAAATTCGCATTTGGACAATCAGGATTACATGTTCCGATCCCACCACATAAATGTTGACAAGTATTCCCATCACCGGCACAATACATTACCCAACTCCAACATAATTTATCTTTTTGTTTTCCTTCTTGAATTTTTTCAACCAATTTTTCACCCTTTTCAGTTAATTCAATAATATCATCGATTCTATTTGTTGATTTTGTTTTACCGCTTGATGTTGTCCATTCAACGTAATCAACGGCACCTTCGACTCTTTTAAGTGTAATAATTCCATTATTCACAAGTTGTGGTGCTCTTAATCTACTTCTCGCCTTTAATCTGATATTCTTTAATAAAGGATGTTTCGATATATAATATTCCGCAGCACGACCAAATGGTACACTAACGGAGTGACCATCATCATTGTATTTAATAAGATGATCGTAATTTTCCATCTTCCTAATCATATAAAAAGAAGTATCAAAAAAGATATTTTAAATTATTTTAAACTCTGATCAACGTAAATGCTTGGAAGGAAAATTGAGATTAAAAAGTAATTGTGTAAAATGGTAAATCTGTTTATAAACGATAATCAGAACGTTGCATTCTTGATGAAAATCCTGTAGAAGTTGTAAAGGGGGAAAATAATTCCCTACCCCAAATAATTGATAAAACAAAAAAAGGAAAGGCGCAGTATAACACGACCGCAAATTGTCAATCCATTACTATATACGAAAGATGTTCAACTAAGGTGAGAGGGAAAAAAAAATTTTTTTTTTTATTCACATGTCACATCATTTTTCTAAATACCTTTGTAAAAAAGGATGATCATGTTTTTTACAAAATTAGCGTAAACAGGTTTCAAAATTCTGACGTTACACGAACCTAATAATGAGATTAATATAAACTTAAAAAGTTAAAAGCCGTTAAAGTATTTTTATGGTATAAACATAAGAATTTTCATATTGTCTTGTCATCATCAAAGAAAATCTATCATTAAAGTAATTTTTATGTTACACGAATGGTAATGTAACCTAATATGTATAAATAATAACAATGATTTTTTACGGGTAATTATTTTATATATTGGTAAAGAGGAGGCATTCATTTTTGTAATGCTCAATCAATCTTTTTTTTAAAAAAAAAATATATATATATTAATCTAGGTCAAACCCGTTTAGATCGTCCAATTCAATTATTATTGACCGGTTATAATTTGGCTCGGCCCGAAACTATAAATTTTGTTGGAGCTAGCGAAAAATTTTGTATCCTAAAAAACTTAATTCGGTTGGAGCTAAGATATTATCTATACCATATCCTAAGAAAGATTAATCACAAGAAAGTGTAGAATATAGAATTTAATTGTGATTTATAAGAATTTCCCAAATACAATCAAAAAAAATTATTGGAATTTAGATTCAAAAACTTTGATTCAAACTTTTTTATTTTAAACGAATAATCTTTTCTTTATTCAAAATGAAGCTTAAATTTAGATTATAATGATTATGATTATCTAAAAAAAAATAAAAATAAAAGAGAGATAATCAAGCATTTAATCAAACAATTAATTTAACTCACGCCACGGTTCCATTATAATTCAATTATTATATTATTATTATTATTTAGTAGGTGACAAAAATTAAAAATAAATTATACGACTATGGCTTTACCTAATTAGTATTTTTATTTATCAGCTGTTACAATTTGTCGTACAATTGAGTAACGAAAATTTTGGTAATCTACAAAATATAAAATGATTTTAGGCAAAAAAATATAAATGATCGAAAAAAGTTTTTTTCTTAACTTTTTAATATTTAGATACACTCAAGATGTCTTATGTTGAACTTAAATACAAACATATTTGTTTACTTATCATAGTTCTTATTGCGGTACTTATTGCCATTAATTGTGCTTTTCCAACTTATGAACTGAAGGATTCGATCAGCATTTTTCGAAAACGACAAGATCCCGAACCTCCCAAAGATCCGCCAAAAGAACAAGAACCTCCCAAAGATCCGCCAAAAGAACAGGAACCTCCCAAAGATCCGCCAAAAGAACAAGAACCTCCCAAAGATCCGCCAAAAGAACAGGAACCTCCCAAAGATCCGCCAAAAGAACAAGAACCTCCCAAAGATCCGCCAAAAGAACAGGAACCTCCCAAAGATCC